TCCCCACCAACTGCACCAGTTCCTCGTCCCTAGCCTTCAAGTCTTTATTCAATCGGTGCACATCATCACCTTCACGAAGCTGATGCCAAGTTCTCGGTACTTCTCAAGGACTCTAAAGTACTTGTCCTTCAACTTCACATAGATATCTTTACGCCTCTGCTCCCTACGAGCACTCTCTATTTCTAAGACGACTGTCTACAAAAACGAATACAAGAAGTTAGAGACTATGAAAGAATAATACAAAATGAGGCACATACTCATCTCATCTACATCCATGTCGAAATTAGTTCCAATATCCTCCTCAGCAATAGTCTTACCTCTATCATCAGTTGAAGGAAGCACATCCGCCGCAACACCGGACGATGAGGCCTCTTCACGTCTTGGAAGAATAGGGCCATCACAGTCCACCACGCCTTCGACCGCAACCTCTTCAGGTCATATATTCATATCCTCCAAATAAATGGTCTTGAGACTAGCCTCTAGGCTCTCCCTAATATGCTCTATGGCCGTCTTCCGAAGGACAAAGCCGTCGTCTCCCACAGCGGTGGTCGCTGACCTCTTACCCACAACATCCATAACCCTCCTCTTACCAGGCATCAAATACCCATCACCAGGCAAATTCTTGTCGTCCTCATGGATAAGACGGTACAAGGGAGGAGCTGAGGTTTACACAGCTGAAGAACCGATAGATTCGGATGCAACCACGTGAGGGACTTGGGAACGAACAGAAGCATCTGCAGTCGAAGAAGGGATTGGGGCACGAACAGAAGCAGACACAGTCGAAGAAGGGGCGGGAGCCAAAGAAGTAGTAGATTTCCTCTTTCGGAACGAGGGTGCGAGAGCTTTCGACCTCTTCGAAGATCCCCTAATCGAAGCTAGGAAAAACACAAGGAAAGGGAAAGGGAAAGGTTAGCAAAGGTAAACAAAAAGAAAGAGAACAAAGAAACCGACGATAAAAGGAACTTACCAGTCGAAGGGAGAGCAGGCCCAAACTTCTTGAAAAAACCCAAACACTCACGGATCCCTACGGTGTGAGGGAGGAGCCGACCAACCTAGTCAGAAATGTCTTCAACCAAAGAAGGAGGCGAGGTTCGGTTGCATAAGAAAAGGACAAGAGGTCAAAGCTCACGACTAAGCACGGGAGAAAAATCAGATACCTATAAAGAAGGAAATTAGGTAGTTAAGAGCACAATTCCAAGCCTCAGAAAAATCGTCGATATTGGCCACCACGTCCTCGGTTCTGAAAAAGAATTGGCGGCTGAATTTGTCGTCCATCTTCACCATCAAGTACTCACCTCCTCGGTGGCAAAGATTCAACATCGTCCCCCTATAAAAGCTAGGGGTGGACAGATGTATTAAATGCCGAAGTGTGAGTTCGACCTCAGCTAGCTCGACAAATTTTATGAGCATCCTTATAAGGTTGTAAAAGTATGACGCAAGCTGAGCTGGGTAAACTCCATTATAACGACAGAATTCCTCCGCCAGTAGAAAGAAAGAGAGAGAGTGTAGCCGACTTGGAAGGGGTAGGCGTAGAAGGCGCAGTACCTAGGATGCTGGACCTACACCATGTCCCACCCAGTCGGGATTAATTCAACATAATTAGGAATGCTAAACTTAGCCTTAAGCTCTTCTAACTCATTCACCGTCATCACTGACCGAGAGGCTCTAGAGTTAGCTTCAGGTAATTTGGTGAAATTGGATCTGGAATCAGGGTTGCGAGGAATTATCTCCTCCACCAATGGGAAGGCTCCATCCTCGACGACGACATGAACATTCTACTCGTGAGGGGGAAACACCATTGCCAAAGGGATCGCATCGCTTCCTTCACCAGACTCAAAAGGCATGTTAGAAATATTTTGATAAAAGAAAGAGAGGTACCAAACGAGGAAGAACTAAGAGCAATACAAATCACGGGAACAGAGAAGAGAGGTTCGAAGCGAGAAAAGAGCAAGAGAGTAATATAAGATTTCGAAACAACAGAACACTTAAACCTCAAAATCGTAGCCAAATACATCATTTATAAGGGTCTTGGCACAAGGATCGAAAATAGTTCATCATTACTGGCACGTGAATCGAAGCGGTAGGTTCAATCAGAGGTCACATGCGAAACGAAGCAATGTATCGGGAATATGCATCATAATGACGCATGATGTCATGACGTCATCCTAACTCGTGGACAACATAACTCGTGAACAGAGAAGAGAGGTTCGAAGCGAGAAAAGAGCAAGAGAGTAATATAAGATTTTGAAATAACAGAAAACTTAAACCTCAAAATTGCAGCCAAATACATCTATTTATAAGGGTCGTGGCACAAGGATCGAAAACAGTTCATCATTACTGTCACCAGAATCAAAGCGGCAGGTTCAATCAGAGGTCATATACGAAACGAAACAATGCATCGGGAATATGCGTCACAATGACGCATGACGTCATTACATCATCCTAACTCGTGGACAGCATAACTCCAACAAATCGCCCGGGAAAATCGAAGCGTTTGAAATGAGCATCCCACGAAGGGCCACGTTGCCAGTTCATTGTAACCACCACGACCTGCACAACTCGCTCGATTGTTTCGACCACAACGAACAAGACCCGCTTATCTAACCTACCTGATGTCGACCTCAATAAGGGGATGGACTAACTGTATGGGTCAAAATCTATTTTTTAGAATATTTAAGCTAATATAGTACTAAGGGAAGAGTTCCCAAGTCGTTGTTTGCCAAAATGGACCAAGAAGCAGCGAAGTCTGTGGTTGAAGAGTCAACGAGAGCCGTAGTTGAGGTATCAAAAAGGGTTGAGGTCGAGTACCATTGACAGAGCCGTAACGGCTAGTTTTCAAGATAGGTTATTAAACAGAAAATTTTCTAGTGGATATTCTCTGCACTTGTACTATTTGAGTTTCTTACATATCCCATATAAATAGAAAATGAGACAATGATATGGGACATGTGATATTCATTTGTAAAAAACACACTTTGACTTGAGAAAGAGAATCAAATCTCATTTGCTAAGATACAAACATCACATTTTCACTAAGATTCTTGGCTACACTTTTCCATTAGATCCGAGAATAACTCAAATATTTAAGGGATTGTCTATCATTCATCATTGTCAGAAAGAACATTCACTCATTCCATCCTTTCTTGGGTGACACACTCATTTTATTTACTTAAATATCGTTTATTGTTATTTATTATTATTAAATGCTATATTGTCATTTTTTATTTGTGGAATATTCACTATATACTTGCTCAGTATTTATTGCTTCTTTAAAAATTCCATCTAAGGATATTATTATTAGCTAAGATTAATCATTATTTACATAAATTTAATTATTTGAATTAGAATTTATATTTTTTGGCCAAACAGATGGTTATCACGTTTAAGCCTGAACTCGCATTTTAGTAAGAACGACTACACTTGAGCTGACACTTCGGTAAGAATTGAATATGAAATTTGATAATTATAATCTCAGCTCACACTTTAGTAAGATTTAAATAGACTTAAAACTCACATTTAGGTATAAGAACTAAAAAATATGAAATTCGATCAGCACCCGCGCTTTACCTTTGTTTTTTCCCTTCAATTAGTCTATGCTCATCGATCTCCGGGCTTTCATTTAGTGGTATGATAATATGTGAGTTAAGACACGTCATTAGAAACGGATTCCGAATTTCAAGAGGATGAGCGCACTTTTATAAAGAAGTGCATCTAGAATTTATATTTGATGGTTTAACTTTATCATGAATCCACTACACTTTTTGAACCCACTGCACTTTTGAAATTATAGGTTCAAAATTATATTCTTTTTAAAATTTTAGTAAATTTCAAATATATTTATACTTTATGCCGAAAATAAGTCCGTTCGGAGTAGGATCCGAATTGCCAATTTCACTTATAGAGGTGCACCCAATAATAGTTACACCATAGGAATCTCTGAGCATGAGCGCACACACATATATTAATTTTGAAGAAATGTAACATTATTATACATGGTTTAAGGAGAGGAGTATAGGTTCACGTTAACCCATATCCCTCAAGCTGGATACGCCTCTACACGTCATATATTTCAATTATGTCACTCTTATTCATCGAATTTCAAATTGTATGTTATGGTTACTAGAAAAATAGACCATTATGGTTCGGTCCTTCCATGAACCTCGTGCATAGCAGAATCTTAATTCACCGGGCTGCCTTTATGCTATGGTTACTTAAAAATATCTAAATTGTAGTAAAAGCAAACAAAATACATCTCATTATCAACTATAACAATTGTCCAAAGGGTAGGGCCTTTGTCTCACAGCTATTACAACATTACCATGAGCCTCTCACTTTTACGTTATTGTTCTTTTCCCCTCTGTTTCAGCAATTTACATTCCCTAAAACTTTAACTTAGTCTCTCGTGTTTACGAGATATAGCAAGGCTTGCGTATATACTATACTCATTCCACATATTGTAATAACACACTACTATGTTGTTTGTTATTACTCCATCCGTTTTATATTAAATGAGGTAGTTTGATTCAGCACGAAGTTTAAGAAAAAAAAAAGAATTTTGAAACTTGTGGTCTTAAAAGCTTAAGGGATAAAAAGTTTATAGGGCCATGACATTTGTGTGGCTATAAAAGCTTCCCATTAAGGGTAAATGGGTAAAATAAAAGAGTTTAAAGTTGAATTATTTCTAAAGTTAAAAATGTGTCATTTGTTTTGGAATAAACTAAAAAGGAAAGTACCTCATTTAATATGAAACGGAGGGAGTATAAACTTTAACTCAATCTCTCTACATTTACGAGGTAGGAGTAAGATTTGTATACAAACTATCCTCCTCATATTCCACACCGTAAAAATACACCGGATATATTATTTGATGTTGTAGTAAAATTTTAACTCAGTCTCTCTCGTTCTCTTTTTTGGTGCACAATTTAAGATATTTGAGTTAATATATCACCAAATCCATCACCCACCTCGTTACTTTTTCATATTAATAATAGAGGCAGAAACACAGAGCCTTAACTCATGCAGTGTACTATAAAAATCAAATCTTTGAAGTTGCAAATACTACTAAAGCCTTCAACTTTTTCAAAGGAATTAATTCTTTTTTTTTTTCTCTATCCGCGTCATTGAAATGGCAAGAGTAGAGTTGTCCCGCGTGGACTTAGAGTGCTCCGGCCACAGTCACCGGAGCTCCGTCAGTGTCAATATCTCCGACACCGATAAGGGTTCTTGTTATTCTCAGTTTTATTCCACTGCTGATGCATGTGCCAATGAGTCTAATAATTCAGTGGATATAGAAAATGGAGATGGTGAAAGTAAGGTGAAAATTGAACGAGACTGTAGAATTTGCCACCTGAGTTTGGTGAGTGAGTGCGAGGTTGCCATTGAATTGGGATGTTCATGTAAAGATGATTTGGCTGCTGCACATAAGCATTGTGCTGAAACATGGTTCAAGATCAAAGGAAATAAGTAAGTAGACACAAAAAACTTGAATTTTGCATTTTTATTTGAATTATTTTTTGGTGTTTTAATTTATGGTTGGTGAATCGTGAACTGCTGATAATGATTACTGAGATTTATAGCTTGAATTTCCATTTTGTTCCATAAATTTTAGGATTTAAGTTGTATAATAGTAGTAAAAAGGCAGTCAGGCACACTAAGCTCCCGTTATGCGTGGAGTCCGGGAAGGGCCGGACCACAAGGGTCTTTTGTACGCAGTCTTACCCTATATTTTTGCAAGAAACTGTTTTCACGGCTCGAACCTGTAAACCTCCTAATTACATTGCAGCAATTTTAGATACTCCCTTTTTAAGTTATATAATACTGGCAGTGTAAAATTTTTTAACTAGCAGTAGCATATCAATTACTAGTTTCACTAGGTTAATTAAAGGTTTTACCGTGTTGAAGCAAAGGGTCAATTAAGTTATTAAGATAATTGCTCAGTACGTTAAATGTAATGATCGGCAACTCAACATGATTTTGGGCTTATGTTATGTTCTAGACAGAGGCGGAGCAAAGATTCCAATTTTATGGGTTCTCTAATTTAGAACGACGATTTCGAGTGGTTATAATTGGGTTCTAAATTTAATATTTGTATATATTTAATAAATTTATTAACATAAATACATTGTTTGAGCAAAAGTCACTGGATTCGACTGAACCTCTTACTAGGGTGTCAATGAATATTTAAAAACCGACTAAACCAACCTAAGCGTACCGTATCAGACCGATTTTTAGATTTCTTTTAATAAAACCTACTATATAAATTTATATCTGTACAGATAATTAGGGTAAGTTTTTGTTTTATAAAACTAAATCGAAAAAAATATCGAACCGTACCGAATAAATTTACAATGTGAAAAATATATTTATATATTGAGTTTAAAAATAATAAAGCATTAAATCTTTCTTGGGCCTTAAAATTACGAAACAGTTACAAGCCAACAAGTAATTAAACTCAAAATTTTAAATCCCAAACCTATTATGCTGCTCCTATTGAAATTAAATTATTTCGAGCATATTCACTAGCAAGACATAAGGTATTGTAGCGATTATGAGTAGCAAACTACAATGTATTGAATATGTTTCTTTTCATATGATTTAGATTTATCTTTTTAAATATTTAATCTTCTATAGACTTTATTATTGGAGCCCGACTTGGTTAATATCTTTCCATTCGTGTGATTTATATTTTCTTTGTATTTGCTTAGTTTCTTTTTCGCTGTTATAGAATAGTGATGGATCTATACTCTAGTCATCTTTCATAATTTTTTTAATTCTATCACCTTTTAAACTATAAAAATGTCTAGAGAGTTTTGCTAGTCCCATAAAAATATGTATTTTATTGTATTCTATTTCTACTAGTGACTTTTACATGACATTTAACAAAAATTACCGAAAATTAACCGAACTGTACCGATTTCGAAGAAAAACCGACATGATTGGAACAGTTTCAAAAAGTCTAATTTTGGTTATACATAATAGAATAACCAAAAAATTGATATGGTACAAATTTTATAAAATAATGGGCCGAACCAAACAATTGACACCCCTACCTGTTACGTAGCTTCTCGCTCCTCCCGTGGTCCTAAGTTCTTTCACTTTAAGGTTTGCAATCGAATGAGTTGGTGATTCTTGTTTTGGAAGTGTGTAGTTTTAATTATCAGTAAATGATGTGTAAGAATAATATTTTTCTGAAGTTTTGGTCTTGATGTCGTCTGTTTTTTGTGGGGAAAAGATGCTACTATGATATATTTTTAAGGGAAAAGCCAAAAGCTAATTACAGAAGCTGGAGTGCTGGACAAGAATAAAATGAAAAGCAAACGAGTAAGCAATGATCGGTATAATTCAGATTTGCAAGTACAGCAACAATTCTACCTACTGTGCCCTTTTATGAACTTTTGGGACATAAAGTTCCTAAATTCTAACTAAATTTTAATATGAGCATTCTTTATCCAGGTGGAGATTGCCCTTGAGGAACAAAGTGTTTATTTTTATCTTTCCCATTAAAGGATTATAATATGCTGTCTGCACATGCTGCTTATTTTATTTTTTTCTATGCACATCTATTCTATGATAGAAGAGGAGCCTTGGAATAATTGGTAAAGTTGCTGCCGTGTGATCAGGAGGTCACCGGTTTGAGCTGTGGAAATAGCCGTTTGCAGAAATGCAGGGTTAGACTGCGTATAAAAGACGTTTGTGGTCCGGCCCTTCCCCCGGGGTGTAGCGGGAGCTATTCTCTGATAGTGGCCTCTCATGTTGGCATTTTGATGTTGAAACTTTCATCTTTGAGTTGGTTCGTCTGTTAACACAAATTCATCTGCAATAAAATTACATCTCCATGATGTGTTGTTTTGGTTTTTGGAACAATAATTTAACTCCAAAATATCCCTAGACTAAATGGTTATAAATGTGCCATATGGATTTGGACAAGGAACTGCATACACTGTTTTGCATATCTAGTATTAGTAAATGGTAACAATGTTTTGGTTTGCTTCCATACCTTTCATGGACAATGTAGATTCATATGCAATCACTTAGCTCTTTAGAAAGTACTTGTGTGTGTGTGTGTGTGGGGG